GACTTAGCAGCAGGCAGCTGGGGGCAGGAGGAGGAATGCTATAGTGCAGAGCTCATTCTAAGAATGAAATCTTCTAGCTTGGAGATGGCAGGAGAGATTGTCCTGCTTTGTTAGATGCTGCAGCTCAGGATGAAGTTTCTGACTCCCGGAGCTGTTAATGTAGATGGCTGGAATGGTCTTGGTTCAATACCAGTCTCACCTTTCTCATTGAATTTTCATAGTTTTTTTTTTTTTGATAGATGTTTTCTTTTGCTGCTGTTTACCACTAGGACCATTTTCAGAGGCTATGGCTGCTTTTTAAGCTAATTTGCACCAATTTCATTGGGTAGTGGGCCAGCAGAGCTCCTCACACTTCAGGCTGTCAACCTCCCATTCATTCTCAACATTTATAAATAATATGTCCTTAGTCCAGTCTTCAAAATATATTCCTGCAGGCGTCCTTGATTATTTCTTGGAGATAAATTCTTAGACTGGGTGATAGGTGACACTAATACATATTTACAATGCCTTCCAAAAAGTTTTGGTCAATTGTTTTCTATCAGGGAGTGAGGTTGCTTTCTTAACTCCTGGGCATTTTAAGTTTTTTGAAACTTTGTCAACTAATAAAACAGTACTGATTATTTTTGCAGTGCTGGAGACAGGACCCAGATCCCTATTTATGCTAGGCAAGCCACTAACACTGAACTACATTCCTAGCCAAGTACTGAATTTTCAACAAAAATACTTCATTGTGGAAAATTTAAAATATACACAAGACAGCATAGATAAGTTGATCTACACACATACACATTACTTAAGTGCAATAATTATCCACTCATAGAAATACTGTTTCCTTTCTACCTCTGTTTAATTTACTAATATTTCCCCCCATTTTTAAAATCTCAGGCATCATTTCATTTATAATTATTTATCTGTGTATCTTTAATAATTATAATTATTTCTCTGTGTATTTCTCTCCCTTCCAGTCTTCTTGCAGGGATGATGTTTAAACCCAGGGCCATGCACAGAGTGGGCAAGTCCTCTACTACTACATCGGTAACTACAGGATTCTCTAAAAAACAACCAGGGGCTGGGATTGTGGCTCAGTGGTAGAGTGCTCCCCTGGCACAGGTGGGACCCAGGTTTGATCCTCAGCACCATATAAAAATAAAGGCATTGTGTTGTGTCCATCTACACACACACACAAAAAAAGATAGCCTTATCAAGCCTTAGAAAATAATAGCAACTATTTAACCTTATCAAAAACTTCCAATTTTTCTCACGAAAGTCTTCTTCCAGATTTTTGAATCCAGATTTTGAGCCTGCATATTACACTCATATGTCCCTTAACTATTATTTAGATTCTCATTTAAACTACAAGTTACCCTTCTATATCTTTTATCCTTGCAATACATTCATTGAAAAAACTGATCTATTTGTTCTGTAGAATCTCCCACAGTCTGGATTTTAATAAATGCATCTTCATCATAAATCTTTCCTCTCTGTCCACTCTATTTCCTTTAAATGGGATTTGGATCTAGAGGCTTGATCAGATTCAACTGTAATTTTTTGACAAGACAGAGGCTGGTGTGTTCTTCAACTAGAAGGCACATAATGTCTGGTGGTCTTGTCTTTTCCAATGTTAGGAAGCACTGATGCTTAAGGCTAAGTCTCCTGAATTCATTAAGGGTTCACTGTCCTTGAATGTCTATAAGTCTTCCTATATTCAGTTGAATAGGGGTGGTGAGAGGCATATCCTCATTCCCGATCTTTGCACAGTATCATGTCAGAATTAAGTTCTTGTGCATGTTATTTATCCATTTAAGTTTCCCTCTGTGTCTGGATTGCATTTTTTAAAATTGCAAATGAATGTTGAGTTTTAGTAAATGTTTTTCTACATCTATTAATATTATCATATTATTTTTCTTCATTAGCCTGGATAACTACAGGACTCTCTTTAAAAACTCTTTTTGAAACTTTGTCAACTAATAAAAATATTTTTCTTCATTAGCCTGTTCAGGGGATGGATAACATTCTGTTATGATGGTTTTTTTTTGTGCGTGGTGCTGGGGATTGAATCCAGGGCTTTGTGCATGCAAGGCAAGCACTCTACCAACTGAGCTATATCCCTAGCCCGATAAAATAGATTCTGAATAATGAATAAATCTTGCAAACATGGACTAAATCCTTTGTCTTGGTATGTAATTACTTTTAAACATTGTTAGGTTTAATTTGCTAATATTTTGTTGAGAATTTTTTTTGCACGTTTGTGGAAGACATTGGTCTGTATCTGTTTTTGGTATTTGGTAATACTAGCCTCAGAATAAGACAGGAAGCATTCCTTCTGCTTCTACTTTCTAGAAGAGATTGTAGAGAATTGGCATGATTTTTTTCCTTAAATGTTTTGTAGAGTTCATCAGTAAAACCATCTGGGCCTTGTGCTTTGTTTTGTAAGGCTATTAGTTATTAAATTTATTTTATAGATATAAGCCTATTAAGATTATCTATTTCTCCTTTTGAGTTTTGGTAGGTTGTGTTCCAAGGAATTACTCCATTTCATTTAGGTTATCAAGTTTGTAGCCATCAAGTTTTTGATAATATTCTCTTTTCATCCTTTCCAAAGGATCAGTAGTTGTCTCTAATTCATTTCTGATAGTTGTGATTTGAATCTTCCCTCTTTTTTCTATACCATCTGATTTTATTGTGAAAGAACAAGCTTTCATTTTTATTTACTTTCTTCTTTTTTTATTAAATTTTTTTTTGTAGTTGTAGATGGACACAATGCCATTATTTTATTTTTTAATGTGGTACTGAGGCTCGAACCCCTGTGCCTCATGCATACTAGGCAAGTGCTTTACCACTGAGCTACAGTCCCAGATCCTCCTCTATTGTTTTTAATTCATTTATTTCTGCTCTTTTACTAGTTATTCTTCTACTTATTTTGGTTTTAATTTGCCATTCTTTATCTAGTTTCCTAAGGTGGACGCTTTCTGCTATAGTTCAGATCTGGAGTGTACCCCAAAGACTTGGCCACTAGCCTGTGGTGCTATTGGGAGACGGCAGAACCTTTAGGAGGTGGGGCCTGGCAGAAGAAAGTTAAAGTATTGGGATCTCAGTCCCTTCCTCTTTGCCTCCTGGCTGTCATGACATGAACAGGTCTCCTCCAGCACATGATATACACATGATATACTCCATGATATACTGTGCAGCCACAAGCCCAAAGAAACAGGGCCAAATGACCATGGAATGAAGTGAGCCAAAATAAACCTTTCTCACTTTTAAGTTGATTTTCTTGGTCTTTCATCACAGACAAAAGCTTTAATGTAAAACCATACAAACAAAATTTAGAACTTTGTATTTCTAATATGTACATTCTTTGTTATAAATTTCCCTATTACCATTACTTTTACTGTATCTCACAACTTTCATTTGGACTTTGTTCAAAATATCTTTAAATTTTCTTGACACTTTGTCTTTGACCCATTTGTTATTTGGAAGAATGCTGTTTAATCTTTAGACATTTTGGGATTTTCAGTTATCTTTCCCTTATTGATTTTTTAGTTTGATTGCATTGTGACCTGAATGTGTGCTTTGGATGACCTCTATTCTTTTAGATTAGCTAAGGTGTGTTTTACAGCCTATAATGTGGTCTGTCCTGGTGAATGTTCCACGTAAGCCTGAGAAGACTGTGTGTTCTGCTGTTCTTAGATGAAGTATTCTGAATGTTAATTATATGTATAGTCCTTGGCACCATGAAATTGGGTGAGATAACTGACAGCAATTCTCCATCTGGTTCCAGACAAATGGAATAATATCCTCTGGGCTTTGACGCAGACATTGGTAATTTTGGAAACTATCTTGATAATTCTATTGTGTTGAAAACCTCACAGAAAAGACACTAAGTAGCCTAAGGACTGAGCCCTGGGGCCCTTCAAAATTTAGAATTATGTCTCCTAGTTGATCACTGGTATCACCTGGAAGCTGACAATGACTCTTTGCTTAGCCAAACTTTAGTCAGAATTCTCCTAGGCCCATCTATTTTTTTTTTTTTTTGGGTAAAATTGTTTCAACAAAAGAACCCTGCTAAGTCAGTTTACCAACAATATCCTATCCTGAATGTGATCAGGTCCCTCATTCTACACCATCCACAGGAGATGAATGATCACCCTGGTTTGTTTTTGGCAAGAATCCTGTTAAGTCAGTCTAGTCAGAATGTCCCTTGCCCCTGACACTTCCTCTTAGTGAATTTTCATCTACTGAACCTGACCATACTACTTGGCTATAAATCTCCACTTGTTTGTGCTGTATTTGGAGTTGAACACCATTTCTCTCCCCTATCATGATGGTCCTAAATAGCCTTCCTTACTATGCTTTGGCAAGTATCATTTTTACAAATACAGCCTTAAAAATATCAATGTCTGTGCCCATCAAATTCCAATTTAATTGGTCTAGTGTGTTCTCTGAGCTTTCATATATTTTTAAAAAGCCCTCCAGGTAGTTTCAATAGGCAGCAAAGTTTGAAACCACAGATTAAAGGCTTCAGTAAATGCAGAACAAATCCAAGTGTGGTGGCACAGGCCTGTAATGCCAGCCACTTGGAAGACTGAGGGAGGAGAATTACAAGTTCAAGGCCAACTTCAGCCACTAGAAATACCCTGCCTCAAGATAAAAAATAAAAAGGGCTAGGGATGCAGCTTAATGGTATAGCACCCCTGAATTTGATCCCTAGTCAAAAAAAACAAAAAACAAAAAAACAAAACAAAACAAAAAACAACAACAACAAAAAAAACAAAGCCAGGGGAGAATAGGGTCCTGTGAAACTAGTGGGGGAAGTTTCAGAAAGGGTATGATTAAGAATGTCAACTGCTAGTCTAAAATAGACTGATATTTGGATGTTGTACTTGGGGAAATCAGATATCTTTGGTGACCCTGACAAAAGCTACTCAGGGAATGGTGGGTTGGAGGTAAAACTGATGTGAACTCAAGAGAGAATGGAAAAAGTGGAGACCCACCCTGTCAACTAAGGTTAGTGAAAATTTTATTAGCTTTGTTAACTTTTTATATTTATCCAACCATTTAGGCTTCTAATTTTTTAGAGTTATATGTCATTATTTTTCTTAGATGACATAGATGATAAATGGCTGAGATAAGGAATAATGGTTTTTAACATTATCATAGTGTGGGTGGATTCAGCTGTCAGCTATATTTTGCTAAAACCACCCCCCCAAGACATCTTGTCTTCTTCAATTTGTAATTCTTAGGCTACTTGTAAGCCTGAACATTTTTTTCATGTCTTGTAGCTATGTTTTCCTCTTGGAAAACCCACCTGTAACTGCTAGAATCTAGTGCTCATCAGTTTGTAGCTACCTATGCACTGTTAGATCTCCTGGTCTGTCCTCCCACCTCTGCCTTACAGGACACTCCAGCACAGCATCTTTGGGAATGGATGTCTTCCATTTGTAGTTGCGTTTGGAATTGGATCTTTGTTTCTTCACACTCTCTAGTGCTTGTGCTTGAAGCTATATTGGGAAACTTGTCATGGCTGTGTTCACCTTTTTTACTCAAGCGTTAATGAGCTCCTTACTGAGCTAATTTGCTTGATTTCCAGGGACCCAGGCCAACACTGGAAGGTGTCAGGCCAGGTCACCCTTGGAGGAGCCCCAGGTTCAGCAGGCCTGCCCCACCAGCACCAGGCAACAATGGCCCAGGTAGAACCAGCCTGGAGACCCCATCCTAGTGTGTGGGGATTTCCAAAGAATCACTAGAATGTGTGGGTAGCCAGTTTTGTCCCTTCTTTTAAAGATCACTGTTGACTTGATATAGGAAGTATATAAAGGGCAATTTTTCTGTTTTTAAGTGTTTAGGATTTTTGTTTTGTTTTGAAATTATGATTTCCTATGATGAACTGAATCATAAAATGTCCTTTTTTCAGAATACTTTGTACCAACAAACCTTAGAATCATGTTAAAAATATAAAAACAGAAACAAAAAAAAAACAATAGGCATAAAGGAACAAACTATTATTTGTAGATGGTAAATATTTACCACAAACAGAACTAAACAACTTTTCCTGAGAAATTATTGAAAAAAAACATTCAGTGAGGTGGCACACAAATATTTTTTTAAAACTTTCCTATATAAGAGAATTAACCAATTTGAAAAATGAAAAATAACAAAATTGGATAGAATTTAAGTGAAAAAAAGAAAAATTTGCACAGGAATACTGTAACTAAGTAAGAAGGCATGTTTCTGGGTATAAAACAAAAATTTGTGAAAATTAATAAATCTTCCCAAATGGCTTATAGGCTGAACCCATTCCACACAGAATAACCAAGTAAAACTTTGGGAAAAAAACCCAAAACTGACCAAGAATCCCTAATCAAAATGCAGGACGACTCCCATTGAGGCATCACTGTTCTCTTGACTCCAGGCAGATCGCACAGAAGGGCCTGGCTATCAGGAGGAAGGATGACGACCATCCACTACAAGAAGACCCATAGAATCCCATTTCTTGAGAAACAATGGAGCTAACCACTAAAGGCATAGTCTCTAAACACTTTGCCTTGTGAGGTAGTGACCATTCAAAGGTTTGTTGACTGTGTAAAGGGGAATTAAGCCTAAGGGAGGTTATGCCTAGCTGTGGATCCAAGCCAACTTTTTCCTGTCTGTAGGTCTGTTACTTTTCTTTAGCTTCCAGGTTTTCCTTCCTAGCAGTTAAGACCTTGGATCACAAAGGGAAAAGATCCTAAAGAGCTTTCCCAGACAGCAGTGGTGCTGGATGGTCAGACCTGAGTGATCTGAACCTCTTTTGGCAAGGGAGAGGCATGAGACAGCTGTCTGAGATTAACAGCTGTAAAGAATCAAGAATAGTAGAGAGACCTTCAAATTATGGTGTGAAAAGGATTTCTATAAAACAGCCCATTTTAGCCCCAAATTGCAAATGTTTTTGAAATTAATAATTATTTTAGATCACTTACAAATGAGGGTAAGTCTTTTGACATTCAAATGCTTTAGTTTTCCTATATCAAAGAGTAAACAATTCAACACTCAAGCCATATCAGGATGTTATGCAAGCGTTATAGGAACTGTTATTAGAAGCTGTTGACTTAACAAACCAGTAGTTTGGTTCTTTCTGGGAGATCAATTCCAGATAAAGACTTTTGTGTTCTCTTTTTTTATGTGTGAATTCCCATGCAAGGGAAAAGAGATCTATTTCAATAGATGTGACTGTCCAGCTCACCTTGCATGTAAGCAGCCCCAGACTCTTTCAAATTTAAATTCTTGGGAAAAGGATCTGTGACCTATATATTGTTGTACAACTTCACAAAGAAAGCTCCTTAGTCCAGGAAGTCTGGATGCTAACTGAAGTATAGCCCTTGAAGATATTTCCCTCTCTGTGGATTTTCTAACAACTGAGGTTTAGCCAACATGGATATTTATCCAAATTTGGCTATAATGAGGTTTTCACATATCTGTGTGTTTTTAGGCAGCCTTGTGAAACTTCTCAGGCTGAGGCAGGATGATTCCCAATCTCATTTCTGCTTTCGGGTCTTACATGCAGAGTGGGTCCTCTCATGCCGGGTACAGTTTGACAGCCGACCAAATCTTCTCCCACATTTTTTGCAACCGTATGGCCTCTCAGTCTCATGACTCTGCAGGTGAAGCACAAATTCTTCATTTTTTGGGAAGGTTTTCCCACATTCTGGACACTTAAATACCTTCTCCCTTACATGGATTCCTTCATGGCGACTTCGATGAGAATTCTGACGAAAGTTTTTCCCACACTGAGAACAGGAATAAGGCTTCTCTCCTGTGTGGATTCGCTCATGTTTATTGAGGTTTGTTTTATGATTGAAGCTTTTCCCACAGTGGCTACAGTCATAGGGTTTCTCTCCAGTGTGAGTCCTCTGGTGGGAAATAAGGTAAGAGCTTTCATTAAACTGCTTCCCACACAGTGGGCAAGTGTACCATCTCCTTGTTCTCCGACTCCGAGAAAGTGCAATAACATTGATGTCCACAAATTTCGAGAGCTCCTCTAGTGGAGTGTCATTTTCAATGGTAACTAAAAGATTTCTCATTTTCCTTTGCTGTGGAATGGATGTATTTAGTCTCTCTTCTTGGCTACCTGGAGGTTGCTCAGAGACCAAGGAACAATCCACTCCATCGCCATCCAAAGACTTTTCTCGGCAATTTCCCTTCTGAAGATCTTCACTTGTAGGACTGTCATTGGCTGTGGAAACAGAGAGAAACTGTAATAAATTTGAGGGACAGAACAATACCAGGCAGGAAAAGACAAGCTGGGTATCTTCTGAAACAATAACCTTGAAAGTCAGATATTTGAAGTCTGGCAGATAACCATCATGAACCCTCTTTTTCTACTCTTATTGAGCACATGATAGATGACTGTCAGTCTGTCTCCCACAGTCCTCTTTTCACTTTTCTTAAAAAGTGAGTGGGAATGCACTAAAAGATTTCACATATTTGTTTCTCAACTGGCACAAAGTTCATACTGACATTATATTCTGTGTAGGAGCACTCAGCTAAGGACACGGGGGGGGGGGGCAGGGGTAAAGGATATGCATAATAAAGGGCACGGTTCATAATCTTTGGAGTCTAGTGATAGAATGAAGTGCTTCAGGTTTTTACTGTGCTAAACAGTGCAATATTATACCAATTTTACAATATCATATACAAGAAAAAAACTGGAGGGCTAAGGATATAGCTTAGTTGATAGAGCACTTGCTTCACATGTCCAAGGCCCTGGGTTCAATCCCCAGCACCACCATAAAAAAAAAAAAAAAAAAAAAAAAGGAAAGAAAGAAAAAACTGGAAACAATTCAAAATGGCCAAAATTAAAGAAGGCACTGCATATTCACACAAGTGATTGGTATTTGGCTATTAAATAATTTACTACAACCAATAAAATGCAACTATGGCATTAGAAATCAGCAGTTTTTCTTTGGGAAGGAAGGGGAGTAATGACTGGGAGGAGACAAGAGAAATTTCTGGGGTGCTAAGAACAATAATTGTGGGTGTTGGATAACTGTGTACATTTTGTGAAAAACTGAGCTGTATACTTATGATATATAGCCTTCTCTTTTTTTATATTATAGCTCAAAATAAAGTCTGTATAAAATAATAGATTATAAAAAGTAGGTAGCAAAGTGGGAAAAGTCTATTGTGAATAGGTGGGGTGACAAGTAAGCTCTAAATTCTGGAGAACAGATGGAGGATAAAGTAAAAGGTTGAAACCAACCCCTTCATGTGACTGATCCACAAGATGGGATGTAAATCTCTGCTACATTATAGCAGTTTCACTTCAATAGATTTTTTAATTATTTTTAAATTACTATCTTAGAATAATGAAAATGCTGGGTTAAAGCATATGCCATTTTTTAAAAACATTAAAAATACTTTTATTTTATTTATTTTTATGTGGTGCTGAGGAGCGAACCCAATGCCTTATGTGCAGTGAGTGCTCTACCGATGAGCCACAACCCCAGCCCTGCATATGACAATTTTTAAAACTGTTTTTTCTCCTTCTTTCCTTCCTTCCCTCCTTTACTTCCCTCCCTCCCTCCCCCACCCTTTCTTTCTTTCTTTTCCACCTACTAGCCACATCCCCAGCCCCCCTCCCAAAAAACTCCCTATGACCACCCGCACTCCCTGCCTCTGGCCTGCGCTGCCAGCTCCACCTGCTCCACGCTTCGGCTCCAGCTTTTTTTTAAAAAAATTTGAGACAGGGTATTGCTAAGTTGTTGAGATTGGCCTTAAATTTGTGATTCTCCTGCCTCAGCATCCAAAGTCACTGGGATTATAGGCATGCGCCCACAGGATCTAGCTCATCACTGCTCTTGATATGAATTACCATACTACTTTCCAGCACTGTATCAATGTCAATATAACCATTACTGTGTGAGTCATCAGTTTTACTTCATCTTGCCAATATGAAATTTTAAAATGTTTAACAGGTATAAAGCAATGCATCACTGTAATTTTAATTTGCAAAATAATTTATTATTAATTTCATAAATATATAAATTTTATATATTATAGAACTTAATCATCATTAATTAATTATAGAACTTAATCATCATTAATTTGTCAATCATCATTAATTAATATTTTAAAAAATTGAACTATTCCTCTATAACTCCACATTAAAACCAGAAAAAAAAAATACATCAGTCTTTCAAGATTTCACAAAGTTTTGTTTGCTGGCTATTCTTCTATGACTTTTTTTTTCTGCCTCAGTTGCAAACACTGTCTCCAATATATTGTATTTTATTTATATAATTTTTCTTATTCTGCCATGCACAAGTTTTAATTTTTATGTATTTTGTTATTTTTCTTTCAAAGCTGCTAGACTTCTGAACCTTAATTACAAAAGCCTTACTATCCCAAGGTTACAAAAGAATTCATCCATATTTTCTAACTGTGGCTTTGTTTTTGTGTTAGTTTGCTTGAAAGACCTTTGATCCCTTTGGAGTTCTTGGTAATGTTAAGTAAGGTAATGATTCACTAGTGGCTTCTCACCTGTCGCAACACCTTTTGCCCAAAAGTCCCTCTTTGCTGGGGGCAGTGGTGCATGCTTATGATCTCAGCTACTTGGGAGGCTGAGGAAAGGGGGTTGCAAATTCAAGGGTAGCCTACAATTTAGCGAGACCCTGTCTCAAAATAATAAAAAAGGGCTTGGGATATAGCTTAGTGGTAAAGTGAAGCTGGGTTCAATCCCAGATACTACAAAACAAACAAACAAACAAACAAATTCATAAATAAAAAAATAATAAAATTCTGTGTTTACTTTGCTGACATGAGATCTGACTTTATATGTATTTGCAGTCATTTCTGGACTTTGTATTCCATCCCATTGGAATCCATCTACTCATGTGCCAATATCACACTGTTTGAATTATGGAGACTTTGTGGGCTGTTTTAATATCTGACAGAGTGATATGGTTTGGGTCTTAACTGTCCTTCAAAGGCCCATATGCTAAAGACTTGGTTTCCAGCCTGTGGTGATATGGGAGGTGGCAGAACCTTTGGGAGGGGGGCTAGTGGAAGTACCTTAGATGATTGGGAGTGTCCCCTTGAAGGGAATATTGACACCCCAGCCTCTTCCTCTCTGCTTCCTGCTGCCTGGAGGTGAGCAGCTGTGCTCCAGCTTCTATTCCCTGCCCAATGTGCTGCCTTGCCACAGGGCCAAGAATAATGAGAAGAGCTAACCATGGACTGACACTTCTGAAACCATAAGCCAAAATGAACCTATTTTTCTTCTACTTTTGTGTCCTTTCCAAGTTTCCTCATATATTTTGCAAATAACTTTATTCCTAGGTAGTTAATGTTACTATTTTAGTAGTCTTCCACCACACTTTTCAAATGATTTTTTTCTTTTGCATTTCAAAATCTGATGATTTTTGTTCATTTATTTCACATTCCTTTGCCTTACTGAATGCTCTTATTATTTGTAGTAAGTTTTTAGACATTATTGGAAGTTTCCAGTTACATAATTATACCATATAAATAGAGGTAGTTTTTAAAAATTAATTAACTTATTTAATTTTGGTATTGGGCATTGAACCTAGCTTTTTTTTTTTTTTTTTGAGACAGTTGCTTAGGATCTTGCTAAATTGCTGAAACTGACCTTAAACTGCAATCCTCCCACCTCAGCTTCCTGAGTCGCTGAGATTACAAATATTCTCCACAATACTCAGCTGTTTCTTCAATTCTTAATAGTTTATTAAGTTACTTTTGCATTCCCAGACTAAATATTACTTGGTTACAGCAATTTTTTAAATCAAGTTTTGGTATTTTTGTTCTACTAATTTTATAGAATTTGTAAATCTTCCTTCTTTTTCTGTACTCTGGAAGTTTTAGTGAAACTGAACTGCCTGAAATCTTCTGTGAAACTGTTGGAAGTTGGTGTTCTTTCTTGAGTCGGGGGCTAATTTTTTGATAATTCTAATTTCCTCTGAAAATTATACAATTTTCTTTTTTTTTAAGAGAGTGAGAGAGAGAGAGAATTTTTTAATATTTATTTTTCAGTTTTTGGTGGACACAACATCTTTTGTTTTTGTATGTGGTGCTGAGGATCGAACCCGGGCCGCACGCATGCCAGACAAGCGCACTACTGCTTGAGCCACATCCCCAGCCCCTTACATTTTTCTACTTACTCTATTTTTCCAGGCTTTTCCCTCATTTTAACTCATTAATTTCTAATCTTATATTCTTTTTAAATTTACCCTACTGTTGTTATAACTTTAAATCAGAGGCTCATCTATTGCCTTTTTTCTAAATTAATACACATTTAGTGGCCATGAATTTTTTTTTGAACATCATTTTAGGTTACATCATAGATTCTGATAGTGTCTTTTAGAAAAATTATGCAATTCTTATTTGTATTTCTCTCTTTAACCCAAGTTTGCTTAACAGTTTTAAAATTTCTGGCAGAAGAAACTTTTATTTTCAGGTTTCATTATTAATTTCTAGTTGTAAGTTATATTAAATTGTGATGGATTCTAATGTACTATTTCTACTTTTTGGAACATACTCAGTCTTCTTTTGTTCCATAGTATTTAGCCAACTTGTCAATATGGAAAAGGTGTATTATTCTCTTACCATAGTGGAGAGGACCCATAAGAACTAAGAACTCTTACTGAGATCTGTTTAAATGTCCTTCCTTTTTCACCTATTTTTATGAGGTTCATTTGGGGTTAGTGGTTTTTGTTTTTAGGTGGTGCTGGGGATTGAACTCAGGGCTTTGTGCATGCTAGGCAAGCACTCTACTAACTGAGCTATTTCCCCAATCTCCTTTATGCAGTTCATTTGGACTGATACACATATTCTCTGATTTCCTATGTTAAGGACTCTCCTTTGGCTCCTGTCTCCATGAGATTCAATCATTATACTTTTCCCTTTGCAAATGATTAAATATGACTCAATCATCACTTATATGCTGATTGATTTCCAATTCTCTATATCCTTCTGTCTTCCAGTTTCCAATTTACAAAGATACAGAAGACAATCATTTTATTTCTTGCCATAGATTTAATCTCATCTAAAATCAAATCCATCTTCCAAATTCCATCACCAGATCTAAATCCTGCCTTAACCTTGTGACAGCTCTTCTTATTGATACAAATTCCACACTGCTTATCTTTTAAAGTAAAATAATCAACTTGTCTGACAAACCACATTGGAGGAGGGTGGTAGAAGGCAGGAATAGAGCATTACATATCTTTGTAACATGCTGAATATCAACTCCAACCCTGCCTAAGGAAAAAGCACGTAGCATTTATGAAATGTTGGTGAATGACTCTAAGTTTAAACCTTCAAGGTATGGGCAGAGAAAGGGAGGTGGGAAAGATGAAGATTAGGTTTTAGGGCTCCAAAGTACATGGCTAAAGGATTGTCAACATACCCGATAATCAGTCATACAAAATAATATTAGCTTTGCCCAAGACCCAGGAAAAACCCAGAGTAATAAATCTAATCTTTTTATACTTATCTCTACAATAAAGAATATATTTGAGAAAGCATCCAGTGGGAGGCCCATTATATATCACTGGCTCTGAGCAGACAGTTCAATGCAGCTGAGGGTTCTACAGTAATAATTGATTTGTGTGACTCCAGGCAACTCCCCCATCTTACTCTCTGCTCAACTTCAGTCTCAGATGAGGGAAAAGTTAGAAGTATTAGGCACTCAGAAAAACAGAAGGCATCTGCTTCTAGGGTAGCAACATATTTCTAGAGGAAAGTTGAAGCATGTCTAAGCAGGTTACAGCAAGGCTGCTTCCAAATCAATTCACATGTAGCACTGGGGATATTTGGAAAATAAGGACAAATAAAGGCAGTCCCATTCACAGACCTTACAGGAAACTGATAAAATTATGAGAATGTGGCCAAGAGGCCACACAGCTCTGGGTCATGACTACAAACTCTGATACTAGATTCCCCTAGTCCATATCCCTGCTTCAGCTGTGGGTGGTGGCACATGCCTGTAATCCCGACCCACATGGGAGGCTGAGGAAGGAGGATTGCAAGTTCAAGGCCAGCCTCAGTAACTTAGTGAGGACCAAAGCAACTTAGTGAGAATGTCTCAAAATAAAAACATTTAAAAAGGGTGGGAGATATAGCTCTATGAGCCTCTGGAAAGTTTCTTAACCTCTTCTTTACTCCAGTTTGTCATCTATATAGTAATAACAATTCCCACAGTAATAAAGTGAGAAGTACATAAAACAATAAACGCATGCAAAGTATATGGATCAATGCCTAGCATATAAGTGTTCAGTACAGTGTTAGGTATTATTTTATTGAAAGTGAGCTATACTTTCACTTATTCTAGTGGACTTCACACCTACTAAACATAAAAAAAAAAAAAAGAGAGAGAAGAGAGGGACTTAAAATAGTGATGTGTCCAATGAAAACACTAATTCAAAATATACTTGGGAGAACAAACTCCAGAAAAAGGGTTCAAAAACAGTCTGCCCACATTTTCCATTGGTTTGCAGATCTTGCTTACTAAAAGAAGTCCTTTCTTCCCTCAGTGCCTTCAAGTACAGGGAAAATGGCCACCCACAGCTGGAATTTTGTGGCTAGGATCTGCCACAAGGAATAAAACAAAAGTAAAACATAAATGTGCTTGTGCTTTAGCAAGTGTGAATAGTACCTCAAAGGTTCCAGAAATGAAGGACACACTTTTGCTATAGCACACAATCTGAATACGCAAAATACTTGATTTCTTACTTAGTAACATCATCTCTCCAACACTCTCCTTCTCTGATGTGGGCTGTTGAGCAGGATCCATGCTCACACATTCCTCTTGGGAGTGAAACACATTCAAATCCTCAAAGACCACCAGCTCCTGAAAGAACAAGAAGCCCCCTTCTTCTTAGTAACTGAGGCTCCTTAGCAGCCCTGTGGCAAGGAAGACTTAGGTACAAAGATCAAAGAAAAGGATGGCGAAAGGGATCTATAAACTCCACACAGAGAGTAGAGATAGGACAGCCAGGCTAAGAGGAGCCAGAAGAAAGCAGAAAAGAAACATCCAAGAAGACTGGCTCCCAAGAAGGTTATGCATGGGTTGGCCAAGAAGGGAAGGCTGCAATAGCAGAGAATGTGATGCACTCAGACAGTGAGTGGTAGAACTAAACCCACCTCAGAGTCAGCTTTAAAACACAGAGACACTGTCTCCTGTTTCTGCTGGACTCCTTCTCTGGGCAGAAGCTTCACTAAGGGACGAGGTTGCACTGGGAAAAGAGGAAGCTATAGTTAGTGAAAAACTCAGTGACTCTAATATAGACATGTGGCCTACACAAGCTGTCCTTGTTCCTTTGGCAGGCAATCCACAGCCTTCTCTTCTCCAGTGAGCCCTGAAAAAGTTAAGCCATAAACCCCAGGTCTTGAACCTTTGGTGTCTTCTCATTATGAAAAGAATTCCCTTAAACACCTTTCAAAATCTCCAAGAGAGAGTTACTACAGAAGAGGTTGGGGTTTTCAGCAAAGTGAAAAGATGCCCTAAGAAAGCACAAAATCTCTAAAATCCCACATAAACTGAAGTCAAGTTGATAATTCATCTTATTTCCTTATTCTTAAAAAGATATTCCCCCCAGAATGTTTGGATGAAATTGACAATACAGAAAGATATACACACCTCATACTCTGTGGTTTTACACACATTTGTCATATCACTTAATCTCTAGCTTGAGAAGAAAGCAAGTACCTCAACATATTAAAATAAGCTCCCTTTTAAACACCCATCATCCTCTTCTTAATTCTGACTAATACAGAAGTCTGTCTCAGCCCCCAGTACCACCCACCATCTCTTCTAGTGAAACAAGCACATGCTCCTCACCTCTGTTCTGAAGGCTTGAACTCACATCCTTCATAATAACCAAGGTCTCCTTGACTTTCTCACTGGGCTGGACCAGGCTTGGCTTGGGCAAGAAGGTAAGGAAGTGCTCCAGCACCAGCTGGTGGATGGTCTTGGGCCCACTAGTGGCATCTTGAAGGAGGTCTTGGCCCAGCTTGGAGTCTGGAGGAACTCTCAGTATAAAGGACTGCTTTGGCTTTGGGGATATGGGAACCACTTTTGCAGTCATCATGCCTTGCAATAAAAGACCACACTCTTTTCTGGGGGATTCTAGAGCCACCTCTTACGGAAGAAAATCTGCCAGAGAGCAAAGCTGCAGACAGAGAAACCATGGATTACCCACAAGACAAAGCAGGGCATGACGATGCTCCAATATACAGGTTGGGTGGTGAGGACACACGAGATCTAAACCAGAAAGCAAAGACAGCGGGAAAGGGAAGTCTTATCTGAAACAGAAGGTCCCTCAATAGCATATTTTTAAAGACGGCCTGAAAGGAAGACTCCAAAATTAAAAATCAAAACTCAAGAACCAAAGAGAAGTGGGTAAAGGCGACCGGCAGGCCAAGGGACATCTTCCCAGAAATATGAAGTGCAAAATCCATTGGGAAGTAGTTTAACTTATGCTTGCACAGAGAAATATGGGCTGGAAGACAGAAAAATCTGGAGTCCAACCCCGAGGGCGATTGATTAGAAGCAGGTTGGTGGTTGGCCCCTCAGGCCGCAGCTCAGGTACCCCTTGGAGGTGGCTGATGTCTCCCAGGGAGCAAACGAAAGGCCACATGACTGCTCTGCCAAATCCCTGTTGAGAGTGACGAGGAACATCACCCGGGGGCCGATAGGGCCAGGCCCACTCCGGGGTCTCTCCCACCTGCCGAGGAACAGCTCGATGGCCAAGTTCGGGCGGCGGCACTGCCGGGGGCGCGCAATGGTTTCCTACACGCCTAGATCTTTGCAATGGATCGCACTTGGCGCCTCCGCCTGCCTCCCGCCCCTCGGAGCCCTCACCTCTCGGAGCCCTTTCGCCCCCCAGGAGCTTGCTGAGGACGGCTGACAGACCAGGAAACCAGCAAGAGAAGAGGAGACGCCGGCAACTATTGGAACGCGCCGCCTTCAGTTGGGAGGACAGCCCAGTGCGGTGCCTTCTGGGAGGCCGGCTGCCTCCTGCTCTGTGACACCACGTCCGGTGACTGGCTTCCGGCGGGGAAGCCTGGTCTCCCCGCTCGGAGCGCGCAGTCTGCGCCCAGTAAGGCGAGGCTCGAGGTCAGCCGCCAGAGCCCTCAGGGCGCGAGGCGGATCCAGGCCGGCGGGAGCCGCTCTCTCCGCGGTTCCGCTCAGAAGACGGAAAGGAGGGGGCTAGCTCCGATCTACCACGACGGGGTACACTCCTCCCGTTTCAGCCAGCACGACTCCACGGCCTACTGGGAAACGTAGTTTTGCGCCACACAGCCAATGGGAGACCACGAGGAGGCGGTGTTTGGGGCGGGAAAGGGCGGAGGTCCTACCGGAAGCCGGCTGTCTTCTGCACCGGAAGATGTGGGCGGGGGCGCCGCAGCTTCCGGGCAGGCCGGGAACTGCGGAGGTGGTCTGGCCGTGGCGGGTGTGGGTTGGCAGTGTCTTGGTGCTGTGGGGCCCGTAGAGCAGAGCTGGACGTCCCTTCCCAATCCCGGCTTGCCAATTTTTTTTTTTTAAAGAGAGATTTAAAAAAAAATTTTTTTTTAGTGGACACAACATCTTTATTTTTTTAATATGCTGAGGATCGAACCCAGCGCCCCGCGCTCATGCGCGTTACCGCTGGAGCCACATCCCCAGCCCCTGACTTGCCAACTTTTACCCTGCATTTGGACCTGCACCTTTTGAAAAATCCTAGCCCTTCCTTCTCAAGCCGTTTCCGTTTCCTTTCTCAATTTCAGCCTCCCATAGAGGTGGAATAGCAACTTTTCTTTCTGCATTTTTTCCGTAATCATTTCATTCCCAGTGAGGCAAAGGGCAGAGTCAGGACAACTTCCATGTCACATCAAGCCTTCAGCAGGATGATGAAGGTAAAAATAAAAACCAGTGCTTTTCTTAGCTAGCTATAGCTGACTCACTGTCGCCAAGGGCAAAAGTGTGATATCTGTAGTTGAGGGGAGCGAGAAAGAATCGCCACGTGCTTCTGCCCTTTTCAGTGTTTTATTCACTCAAAACTCAAATTACTCAATACAATTTTACTGTATAGTAATTATATATATAGCTTTGTTTTATTTATTTATTTTTATGTGTTGCTTAGGATTAAAACCAGGGCCTCATATGTACTACGGGAGTGCTTTACCGCCGAGCCACAACCCCAGCCCTGTATAGGTTTTTTTTTTTTTTTTTGTATAGGTTCTTAATCAAGGAAATGATAGTCTTTAATGCTGGGCACTTCAATATACATGATCAATTAAAAGCAAACAATTCTAGTGCTAACTCTAAGCACTGCAAACACTTAATCATGACAGACCTATTTACACTCCCTCTGCATGTTAAGATTAAGTGCTAGATTTAAAGTCTTAGGCCTTAAGTCCAACAGATGCACACTCAGATCGCAGTGATCAGGTGAGGAACGGATGGAGGCTTCTGGTGTGGAATTGACTGCTGGATAAGGAAACGGTGGTAAGGAGAAGTCGCCTTTCTCACCAGGGTCAAGAGGCTGCTGTAGAGTTTGAGTGCGGTGAGCAGGTTGCAGAGGATCAGGCAGATGATGAGAAGAGTGGGGATGCCAGTCCAGGTCCTCTTCATGCTCTCTGGCATGTGGGCATATGGGTATCAGCTGGCTTGAATGTCTGTTCATTTGTTCCATTATTTATACTAAATTTTGGGGCTTCTGCATGCCCTTTGGGTTCCTATCAGCTGTTACCAGGTTTATTAGTGACATCTTACATCTTAGGACATATGGTCTGGTGGTTTGTGTTATTTAAGGGAATTAATACAAATACAACCATTTAAAAGAAAGAAATTAAGTAGGGATTGAATATGGATCCGTTCTCTGGATTTGGGAGGTCCCATAGTAGAACCCTGCTCAGCTTTTTAGCAGTTAACGGGTGTGTGAATATACATGCTAATCCATCTTAATGAGCCCAAAATAAAAAAGGTCAGGAGATTCTAGTGTGCCTGTGAGAGAAACCAGCTGGACCTGCCTCAAGAGTGTGGACACCTTGTTAGGTGGACTGATGGTTTGCCCAGTCAGACAATGAAAGAATACTTGTGATTGAATCAGAAGCATCCTCTGTGTGAGCCTAGCTCATAAGCTGTCTGCCTGAACTGTTTCTCCACACCTATTTTCCTCTATTCCCTATCTCACTAGTAGTCAAGATTATCACTTTTAAAAGGGACAGCCATTTTCACCTGTCAAGCAATGAAGAAGATGAAAAAATAGACACTCTGTTGGTTGTGAGATGTGAGAAGTCATCTTGTAGTATACGTTAAAACTAAAAGTACAGATACGTGCCCTTTGACTCTGGCAATCTCATCTGTGAATCTAGTCTCAAGAAATTTCATGTAGAATTCTTGGTAGTGACAGAAACTGGAACAACATCCAAGTTCATCAGCAAGGATATAGTTGGATAAAGTGGAGTATTCATACCCCAGAAACTATAGCTATGAATAAGAATGGACCAGAACTGCAGATAGACTTGGAGGAGTGGCCACGGGACATTAAATGAGGGACACACTTGAAATTCCAGTGACTCAGGAGGCTGAGTCAGGAAGATCACAAGTTCAAGGCCAGCCTGGGCAATTTAGTGAGACCTTGTCTTAAAACAAAAAATAAAAGGGATGGGGGTATAATTCAGTGGTAAAGTGCCTCTAGGTTCAGTACCCCAAATAAAAGAATATTAAATGAAAAACAGCAAGTTCAGAAATATGTATATAACATATTTACATTTTTGGAACAAACAGAAAATACCCTGTGTATGTTTGTATGGCATGATACACATTGGACTATTATTAATATGGTTACTAGTAAGTAGAGGATAGAAATAAAGGGGAATAAACTTTTTAAAAATTGTCTCATTTCATTTAATGACTATCAATTCAGTAACTAAAAAAAATTTGAAAATGAAAAAAGATAAATAGAATGATAAATATTTTTAAATTCAATGGCATCCTGTTCTTCAAAACTGATCAGTAAAATAGATACCATCAATGGTTTTGAAATAACACCAGATCTTAACCTTTTAACATGAAATGATGCTCATTGTCATATACAATTAAAGAAATTAAAGTAAAAATAATAAATGGAAAAATCTTTTTTTGAAATAAAATGAATTATTTAATTTTTTTTTGGTAATCTTGTATTTTATAAGTCACATTTCCTCATAAAAAATAACATTCAGGTTGGATGTAGTGGTTGTACATCTGTAATTCCAGCAATTCAAAAGCTGAGGCAGGAGGATTGGAAGTTTGAGACCAGCCTCAGCAATTTAGAGAGGACATCTTCAAAAAGGAAAAAAGAAAAGGGCCGAATAGCAACAGTAATAATATTCAGTGTTCTGAAAGCAAACTAATACAATTATTTAAGAGGAAAATATGGCCCTTTCTATTCTTAAAAGTAGCATGTCCATAATTTTTGTCAAATATTCAATTCTCAGAATTTATTTTAAAAAAACCTATAGGGGGCTAGGTTTGTGGTTCAGTGGTAGAGCCCTTGCCTAGCACATGCGAGGCCCTGAGTTTGATCCTCAGCACCACATATAAATAAATAAATAAAATAAAGGTAATGTGTCCAGCTACAACTAAAAAATAAATATTAAAAAAGAAGCCTATAGAGATGATAAAACCTTGTTTAAAATGTCAAAATGTTGGTTAAATTATTATATGCTTAGTCTGTGGAATCAAATACAACCATTTAAAAGAAAGAAATTTTTTAAAAAGGCAAGTTACAAAACTGTGTAAAACATAGTCATTTAAAAATAAAATGGGCTGAGGATATAGCTCAGTTGGTAGAGTGTTTGCCTCACATATACAAGGCCCTGGGTTCAATCTCCAGCACCAAAATAAAATTTAAAAATGCATTTTTTAAACTGAAAGAATATACAGTAGGAATTAATAGTGGTCATTCCTAAAGGGTAGGATTAGTGGGGATTTTTTCCCCCATTACTGGGGATAGAACCCAGAGGCTCACTACCACTGAGCTACATTCTCAATCATTTTTATTTATTTATGTTTATTTTGAGACAGGGTCTCACTAAATTGCTTAGGACCTTGCTAAGTTGTTGAGGCTGGTCTTGAACTTGTGATCCTTTTGCCTCAGCCTTCCGAGTTACTGGGATTACAGGTGTGCACCACTGTGCCCAATTTAGAGTTTTGTTTGTTTGTTTGTTTGTTTTTTTACTTTTTGTTTTATAAATCTGTAAGTTTCCAAATAACAAGCATTACTTTTGGGGTGCTGGGGTTGTGGCTCAGCGGTAGAACACTCGCCTAGGAAGTGTGAGGCCCTGGGTTCAATCCTCAGCACCACATAAAAATAAATAAAAGTATTGTATCCAACTCTAACTAAAAAATTAAAATATTTTTTAAAATTATTACTTTTGTCATCGGAAAACCCCAGATATCTGAAGGTGGGTTAAGAAATTAATATTTAATCATCCAGCAGTAAAAGTGAAGAAAGGAAATTCTATTTAAAATATATTAGGCCTGGGGATGTGGCTCAAGCAGTAGCCCTCGCTGGCCTGGCATGCATGCGGTCCGGGTTCGATCCTCAGCACCACATACAAACAAAGATGTTGTGTCCGCCGAAAACTAAAAAATAAATATTAAAATCCTCCCTCTCTCTCTCTTTCTCTCTCTCTTTAAAATAAAAAATAAAATATATTAAATGCAAATCAGAAACACAATGATACCACTTCACACATACTGGAATGATTGTGATTTTAAAAAGACAACAGAATTACAGCAGAACACCTGGACGCTGCAGCTGGGGAGCCTGGGCGGGCGGGCGAGTTGCCGCCCCTGGATTTCTTGAATAAATCTTGAGATTTATTCTTAGTGATTTTTTTAATTCCGCCCCAGCTAATGTTTGAGCCAGCACATTGCGGAGGAAGCCTCCTCATTTCCAATCCGACCCGAAGTGGACTCGCCCTGCTGTGTGTGAGAAGGCACACCTGGGCGCACACAGGTGGAGCGTCACCCCTGTGCGTCAGGTCGCCGCTCTCTGTGATGGCCCCTGACAGTTCTAGCAGGCAATCCTGTCAGCTCCCAGAAACGTTCCAGATCTGGCAGTGAGGTCAGGAAGCGGAGATCCTTCCGATTTCTAGAATCTGTATGCAGCGCGCTCTCCTAGCACTGTTCTGAATGACAAAAGCCGTCATTCAGAAAGGTGGCATCAGGAGCTGCTCACTTATTAGGGGACTGAAGGGAGATCTGGAGAAGTTCCACAACTCGGGGAGTGCTCCCCTGGCCTCCCTAGAGAAGATGGCAAGCAACAAGAACCAAATCAGCTTCTGCTTCACTGGCTTTGGGAAGGACAGCAAAGACGCTGTCACAAGTTAAAGCAGCTGTGTACTAGAGACAGGGTTCCTTTTCAGAATGCGACCCATGGTGGCCTCCTACCCCTTGTTCTGTCTCCCTACCTTTTGATCCCCGAGGATTATGAACTACAAAATTATGAAGACGTACTTTTGGGCCTTGTTCAACTTCTAGAGTTCTAAGAAATCTTATTTATTAGTGATATAACATTGCTTTGAGAACAGAATGCAAGCATTAACTTTGGTCCTTCGTATTTTGAACTAAATACTAATTGACAAGAGTGCTATAAACTTGCTCTAACATTTATAGCAATTGCAAGTTTCCCTGCTAGACCGTCTTAATTTATGTATCTAGTTTACTATGAACCTGCCATGCCTGTGATGCATTAGGTCTTTTCAAAAGTCTGTATATAAATGTACATTTTGATCCTGCTGCAAAATTTTATCAGCAAACACATTGTTCAATCTTTTAAAACAAATTTAAGGAAAGAACTGGAAGTACAGACTGAACAGTCTGGTTCTTCAAAAGGTTTGGGTTTTGTTTTGATTCATTTTTTTATTCTAAAATTCAACCTCCTTTTTTTGGTTTGTAGATTTAATCATTTCCATTTTGAACTGCTCTTTGTATTGTGCTTTTTACTTGAGTCTCTTCAGTGTTAATACAAGTTTCTGTAATGTAATAGCATGCAGAATTCTTTTTTTTAAAGAGGGGGAGGGGGGAATTTTTAATATTTATTTTTTAGTTTTTGGCAGACATAACATCTTTGTTTGTATGTGGTGCTGAGGATCGAACCTGGGCTGCACGCATGCCAGGCGAGCGCACTACCACTTGAGCCACATTCCCAGCCCTCATGCAGAATTCTTTATGGAAAAAAATGGAATGTTGTTTTGGTAGTTGAAACTGAGATATAACATTTTGCCTTGTAGGTATATTCACCATAGAAAATGTGTGCTGAAATTTCACAGTGCTGCCAAGTATGGCCTCTGAACAACCTTCAGTGGAGAAAATGATGATGCTCTTTATATACAATAAGAAATAACACTTTCATTAGAAGAGCAAATGCTGATTCTTGATCAAGAGAGCAGGTATAGTGTTTGTTTATTTTGTATCAGGTATGGAAAAAAATTGGACTGCTACATGCACTTTCCTGGAAAGTTGAAAAGAAAGAGGGACCAATTTTCTTTTTTTCTTTTTTCTTTTTTTTTTAAAGAGAGAGTGAGAGAGAGGGACAGAGAGAGAGAGAATTTTAACATTTATTTATTTTTTCTTAGTTCTCGGCAGACACAACATCTTTGTTGGTATATGGTGCTGCTGAGGATCGAACCCGGGTGGCACGCATGCTAGGCGAGCGCGCTACCGCTTGAGCCACCTCCCCAGCCCGGGACCAATTTTCTTTAACATTTAATACTTACTAACAGCAGAGACACTGTAATTTTACTCAAGTAATCAAATACATTTTTTTGCAACAGAAAAAAAGACAACAATGTTTATAATGGGGTCTGTTTTATTTCACAGCCTGTAGATGATGTATGTTGCATCATATGTATGTTACATACATGGCAGGGATGTAAAATGGTCCAGAGGTTTGGAAAACACTTTGGCAGAACAAGCAGTTTCATCTGTCAATATCAATATAAATTCAAGAGAAATGAACACATGTGTCTACACAAAAGTGTAAACAAATACCAGCATAATTTATATCACAGCTGAAGAGTGGGAATGACCCAAATGTGGTATATACATATAATGGATTTAAATTTGTCAATAAAGATGAATAAAGCACGGATACATGTTACAAAAGGATGGATGTTGAAAATGCTATCCTAAGTGAAAGAAACCAGTCACAAATTATATCAATCACGGGGAACAGCATAGTGCTCGTGAGCTGTGTGGGCACATGGATTCCATAGGTGGAATAAACACGCGGAAAGCAGAGGGTGTGCTTGCAGGCTGGGGTCCTAATGATGGAGAACCTGTGGGTCCAGTCTAGACTGTAAGGGTGAAGATAGAGGAGTTGAGATAAGAGGAGTTTGAAGTTTGATCTTCATTTGAGTTTTTCTTCTTTTAAAACTATTTAAACAAATTTTTAAAAAGAAAAAATATTTATTTATTTTAAGTCAAGGTCAAATTGTTAGCAGCCAGGCCTTGAACTCCTGGGCTCAAGTGATCCTCCTGCCTTAGTTTTCCAAAAGCTGGTTCTACAAGTGTGAGCCACCATTTTTCTTATTAATCCTTTTTCTTTACATCTCTCTAAATGGGGGGTGAGTTGGGGGACATATGTAACCAGAACATCTACTATTACATAAGCTCACAGATTTTCTGATAGAAACCAGTCAGAATAATTTAGTACTTGGAATATGTATTAAGTGTTTTTCTACTGTAACAGCATCATCTCTTTTATGGTATGCAGTAGGGGAATGGGACCCCACTGTGATCATCTGAGTATCAGATGCAATTATGATGTAATTAATTTATTAGGTCCACTCAATACTCTTAAGAATCATACATAGTTCATTAACCCAGATACACATGTACTTTTGTAACGATCCAGTCTGCTTAGTTTTCCATGTTCTCAAGACAGGGGAAGACTGAAAGAGGGACATATCCTTGCCATGAGGAGGAAAAGGAGAGAAGAATATTAGAGTGCAAATTCATCCAAGGACTTAACATGCAATGGCCATGTACTTTCTTCTCTGATATCCTCGGTACATCATTGGTACTTTGATATCTTCATCCTTGATTTGCCAGTATTTGCATTCCTAGTTTAGTTCTGCTGTGATTTGGCAAGCAACTTGGACAAGAAGACTATTTTTTAAAAATTAATTACATTTCCTGCAGTAACTGGCACCCAGTGGGTATATCATTAGTGACTATTGAGTGCATGAGTGCAAGACACAGGCCAAGAGCTGGAATTGAAATGCAGTGTTGGGCAGTCAGTGGGGCCCCTAGCCACTCACTGGGCAGATAGTCAGAGGACCCATGTTCTTCCCTCCATCATGTTTCCCAGGGCAGAAGATAGGTTGAAGGGGTCCAGAGGAAGAGAAGCCAGTAAATATGTAGATGTGCGATCTAGCTGTTACATTATAAAAAGAAATATCTCCCTTCTTCCAGTCCAGGAAGATGCCCACACGCCTGGGGGGCTTTCTTAGTTGCAGACGGGTTGGAGGACAGGTAGAGGCCAGGTACTCATTTTGCTTCATCATCACTACCCAGTAGCCATTCTCTGGTGACAGAGTCATGCTTCCCTTCCTGCACACGGATGCCTCGCACACTCCCAGGATCCATGCTGTCTTATCTCCAACCTCCACCTCCCAGTAATGGCAGCCAGAGAAGAAACTGGGAGAACCCAGGGTGATGCAGTTATCGAATCTTTCTGGGCTGTCAGATTGTCGCTCATCTTTGTTACCAAGTCTCACACTTTTCATGTCATCAGAGAAGACAAGGTTGGGGTGGGCAGTTGCTGGATCCAGGATTACACTAGCTGTGGAGAGAATATTAAGCTGGGGGGGGGGTGTGGGCAACATCCCCTCAGGTTTTCCACAACTCCAGGAAACAGGGACAGGGCTACTTTTCCAGACTGTAGGGGAGGACAGACAGGGACTCAGCAGGCCAAGGCCACTGGTTTTGACTTTGGACACTTACCAGCATGTGCCTGAGCAGCCATCAGTTCTGTAACTACAGAGGAGAAAGAGGAGAAAGCGTCCTGAGTCTCCCCATTCAGAGGGCCTGAATTACACTGTTTCCACAGGAAAGACAAGTATCCCCTTGCTCCAAGCTCTGAATCCTATTCTTGGGTGTAACCCAAGGCCTCCCAGACACCCATACCCACCTGGGAGACTGGTCTGGTGAGCTAATTTGACAATGAGGCAGGTACAAAGGACTGTGCAGAGCTGTGAGGCCTACCACAACTTTTCTCCCACCTTTGTTTCAGGTGTTTTTCTCTCTTCTAAACAATGCCCCTAAGCTGGCAGCATAAGGAACTATCACAATAATCCCTGGTCAGCACACACTTCCACCACCACACTCACCATTGAACATTTCCATTTCTGATCGCAGTGTTTCTAAAAAGGGGGAATGAGAGTAGAGAAAGATTTCAGTTAGGTCAGCTGTCTAGGAACAGATGAGGAGAAATTGAAGGCAGAGTCAGAAAGGCCTTGGGAAATGGAGAAGAGAGGATCCTGGGAAGGAAGTGGAGCCCCTTTCATCTTCCTCCAAGCCCACCTACCTGAGAAGTACCGTGTGTTCCTCTCCATAAACTCTGCTTTCTGATAGAGCAGTTGTATCTTTTCTTTCACTTCTGGAGGAGCAGCCCATGGCTCAGGGATAGTCATCATCTTGGCCCTAGAGACAAGAGACTGTTGGGACTGAAGCAAGGGGGTGGCCTTGGTCCCCATGAGCTGGAAGTGAGGTGCAATCTTCTTGGGGCACATCCAGCCCAATCTGTGCTATGCAGAGTCCTCCTTGGACTTAGATTTCTGATACTGGTCCTCAATTTTGGCTGCAAATTGATATCTACTGGAAAGTTTAAGAACCACTGATATCAAAATCACAAGTGTAAATAGAGGCCTTAAAGTGGTATTGATATTGCCAGAATTCAGACTGCTAAGTCAAATTAATTATATTTCTATATGTTTTGTATTGAAATAGAAATAATAGATAAAAACCCAACTATAATGTAATACTATCTCATAGCTATTAGGATGGCTGTTACAGAAACATCAACAATTGCAAATAACAAGTATTGTCGAGGATGTGGAGAAATGTCATACCATTTAAATAGGATGACCATCACCTGACAAGTGGGTAAACAGGGTGTGATACCCACATATAATGGTATATTATTCTGGTATTAAAAGGGATAAAATTCTGACAAATGCCACAATATGGATTGACCTGGAAGGCCCTATGTTCAAGGGGGAGAAGCCAAACACCAAAGGTCAAATACTATATGATCCCATTCACATGAGATTTCTAGAGTAGTCAAATTCATAAAGACAGAAAGCAGAATGGTAGTTGTCCAGGGCTTAAGGAGGAGAGTGAGGAGTTAGTGTTTAATGGCATGGGATTTCTGTGTGGGAAGGTGAAAAAATTGTGGAGATAGATGGTGTGCTGTGTGTGCAAATGTAAACGCACTTAATGCCACTGAACTCTACACTTAGAAGCAGTTAAGATGATAAATTTTATGTACCACAAAAGATTTTTTAAAACCCTTCTAATGCCTTGGTCCCACTCTCAGACACCTGGATCTAAGTGGTGTGGCTGTGGATACCAGGATCTCATAAAGCTCCCAGGCTGGCTCCAAAATGCAGCCTTCTCCTTGTTCCTCTCCCCTCCCCTGCCTGATGGGCTTTGCCCACCTCTGAAGTGGCTCCTCAGAGACTCTTGGAAAGTGCTTCCCTCCTTGAGGTCATAGGTGGCTCTGCAGGGGCAGTTTATGTAAGGTGGATTTCATGGGACACAGTTCATCCGGGAGTTTTCTCAGGAAGTCACCATCTTGGTTCATCAGGACTAGACTCAATTAATCTCCCCAGTCTTCTATTCCATTCCTTCCCTCCTGTCCAGGCTCTGGTAGCCCCTGTGCAAATCCAGGAAGGCCCCAGGAATCTGCAGGCTTCCCAGGTCCCACCTAGAGTTGTCTTGCCCAAATACTTCCTGCAAGATACCCCAGGGGACACCACAGAACCTGTCTGTACCTGTGCAAGGTGACTCCGATGTCCTAGGAGAGAAAAGAGGGAAGCTCTCCATTACCAGTCTCCTAGAGGCTGTGCTGACTCCTAGCCTCTGTTTCTGGACTCCTAGATTTTAAGCTGTTCCCTATTCTTATCAGACTGTCAGCTCCGGAGTATCAGTAAGCTGGAATATTTCTCCTCAGTCATAATTCTAATCACTTGGTGGCAGCCCCACTGCAATGCAGTGGAATTGCACTTAAGCCTTTCTCATCTCTTCTGGGCAATGCCCGGGTTACTCTGGGCTCCTGAGAGACCTTGACAGAGGGGAGCCCATGGCATCATGGGTCACCAAGACCATGTCCCACCCAGGCCTCAAGGGCCTTACTCCCTGGCTTGGGCAGGGCAGATGGGAGTTATGGGAGCCTGCATTCCTATTGGACACTGGACAGGGGAAGGCCAGGCCCAGATGTACTCACTTGCATGATCTCCCATTCTGACTGGCTTTGCTTGGCTTCCAACTCCCCAATCAGCTCATCAAGGCGGGAGATGTGCTGGGATACCCGAGTGCCAAAGGTCTCTCTGACCTGGCCAATGGTCTGGCCCAGTTCCTCCGTCCAGGTCACAAATAGCTGCTCCTGCCACTCCAGAAACTGGCACAGCTGCTTCATTTGGCACCGGATCCTCTGCTTCTGGGTTTCAGTTTGTTTCTGGGGAACAGAGAAGAGGGAAGTATAGAGATCTATATTATGGGTGAACATGTATATCCAGAGTGTCCCTAGAAGACCACCTTGGGGACCAGAGCAGAAATATTATCTGGAACCTTCCAGAACCTTCTAGAACAAGGGCTAGCTCTTGTAAAGTGCTCTTATATCGAACATTATAGGTTCAATTGTTTCCCTTCTAAATTTATATATTGAAGTCCTAACCCAAAAGTACTAAAGAATGATTTTATTTGTAGGTAGGGTCCTTGCAGATGTACTTAATTAAATTATAATCATATGGACTAGGGTGGGCCCCTAAATCCAGTATGATTGTGTCCTTATAAAATGGGAACACTCGGACACAGATACACACATAGATAGAACACCAGGTGGGAAGATGGCCATCTACAAGCTGAGGAGGGAGGGAACCAATGTTCCCCACCAACCTTGTTTCCAGACTTCTGACCTCTACAACTGCATGAGGCAATAAATACCTGTATATAGTGGCCATGGGAAAGTAGGACATCACAGCCTTGAAAGCCAGCACAAAAATGGCATAGGCTGTGGGATCATAAATGGTCAAGGCACTGACCCCCATACCATGTTCCAGGGTGGGGCCTCTCCCCTCCTCCAAAGTGCTGGAGCATAGGCAGTCTCAACAGTGGTTCTGAATGTGGGTATCCATCTGTTTGGATGTAGGTGAATTTGGCTTCCATGACTGTTGCACAGGGTCCATGGAGACAGTCCCTCTGTGTCTTACCTCTCTAGGGATAAACTTTCCCTTGAATACCATTACCTTCCTGCCCCCGAGGAGTGCCCATTCTTTTACATTTATTTTTATGTGTTTTTTTAGTTGTAGATGGACACAATACCTTTATTTTATTTACTTATTTTTTAAAAGTATTTTTTTCAGTTGTAGGTGGACACAATACCTTTATTTTATTTGTTTATATGTGGTGCTGAGGATCAAACTCAGGGCCTCTCACGTACTAGGTGAGCACTCTACCGCTGAGCCACAACTGCAGCCCAGGACTGCCCACTTTTGCTGCCCTGTGAAGCAGAATAGAATCTTGGGGACCCCTGCTCACTCCTTGTCCCCTACCTCCTTCTGCAGACACGAAGAGGCAAGGGCTGACCTAGGATGCACCTGGCTTACCAGGAGGCTCTCTGTCTTCTTATCCCCCTGGGATCTCTGTTCCTCTCCAGATTTCCTCAGCTCCTTCAGATGCTCCAGCTGCTTCTGAATTTTCTCCTGGAGAAAGAGTACTTCTTGAGATACTTACACTTGGCTCCCGTCATCCTTAGCTGGTGCCAACTCTAGCAGGGTGCCAACTTTGCTTCCAGGGGCGAAGCTAAGGGTGCTGCAATCAAGAACATGAAGAAGTGTGCTCAGGAAAGTGGAAGACTGAACCTGTTGCCAAGGAAAACAGAGCCAAGAGGTGGTGACAGAGAGTCCCAGTGACTCCCTGAGAAAGCCCCTGGATCCAGTCACACCTGAATCCCAAAAGATCCCCTTGGACTTCCCAGCAACATAAACAGGCTGATTCCTTTTTTATTGTCCTGATTTGTATAGTTTTTGCCGCACACAGCCCAAGAGTATTGGCTTATGCACCCATATCCCTGAGTGGTTAGGAAAATGAAGCAAGGCCCAAGATGTCCAAGTTCCAGGTACAAAGCACCTACCCTGTATTCCAAGGCAGCCTCCTCAATGGGGCGTACCCGGTGACCTTGGTGCTCCTGACTCAGCCTGCAGATGAGGCAGATGGGCTCCCTGTGATCCTCACAGAAGAGCAGCTGCACCTGCTTCATGTGGCGCTGGCACTGTGGCAGAGGCTCAGGGCTCAGGCCTCCAGAGCTGTTCTTGTTGAGTGGGGCCTGGCACTGCTGGCAGCTAGGCAAGTGACTTCTAGGGGTCTTAGGCTCCCCTGAAGCAACTGGACAGCTGCAGGAATCCAGCACACAGGTACCAGCAAGCAGATCTCCTTTTGGTGTGTGGCAAAGGGGAAATGCAGCCTTGTCCTGTGGCCTCCCTGGGGACATGGCAATGGAAAAATCTCCTGAGTGGTCAATCCAAGTTTATGAGAGAGTGAACCTGTGCCGAGAATGCCTGAGTTCTCAGATCTGTCCATTTCCTTGCACATCTTGCCCTGCCTTCCATTCAGTGAGGCAACCAACAGACCCCTGGAACTGAGAACAAGGGCTAGGCCTTAGGTTCTTTCTGGTTCTTGAGATTCTTAGGCATTCATTCTAAGAAAGCCCCACATCCCTTTGCTACAGATTTTTCTGCACAGATATGGGTCTAGTGGGTGAAACAAAAGAGAGTAAGAAATTCTGGACAGTATTTGCTTTGCTACTTGAAACCTCTCCAGCTGCCTGAAACTTGTGGGGGATGTGGTGCCTTTCTTGTAGACAGACTCCACATCTGCTGCAGAGTGCCTGGAGGCTGGAATGTATTGTGTGAAGGAGCAAACAGATCACTGCTCACACTCAAGTTCAAGAAGCACTAAATAAAAGCAAAGAAGAATAAGTTATGAGTAGCTCTGAGACAGTAGCAGTAACCCCATAAAAGCAGAAATGACAGAGGACACAAGAAGAAATAGGAACATATGCAATACATAAATCTGTCTCTCCCCCCACTCACTGTCCCAGGAATTCACATCACATCTGTAAACAAGACTTCTAGTGACCCTCAGGAAACACATCCCCCCATCCCTTGTGATAGAATTGATGACTTCCTCCAACCCAAATAACCCCAGATTCTTAGCCTCCCTTGCAGTCAGTAGTGATGATCTGAACATATTCTAGACAAAGGGATGAAAAGGAGATGTCCTGAGCAACCTCTAGAAATTTCTAGAAACCTTCCCTAAGTGATGCTATTCCCCTGGGCCCTTCCATCCTGCTGCTTGGAATGAGGATGTCACTATCTGAAACCATGAATTTCAGAGCAAAGTTGGCAAAGTTTGGGGGTCTGGCCCATGTATCTGTCACAGACAAATGTATGTTACTGTGTGTCATTTGTGCGAAAGAAGAACAAAGTCTGTGTTGCTTAAGCTACCATGATTTGGGGTTTTCTGTTACTCATGAATAAACGTAATCCTGATGACTAACTCCTCAGAAAGAGAGACCTATGGTTTTGGTCAACTGCTCTCCTTCTTGCCCAGTGAAAGAGAAATGGTAGAATCCAGCCACATCACAAACAGCCCTGGGTATTTGTGGGAAGGGAATATTTTTATCCAATTTTCTCTGGATCCTCAATCTGGGGCCCATGAAGCCTGTACATGCTAAAGAAGAATTTGTGAGTGTCCAAGAACAAGTTGAAATTTGATGCAACATTTTGTGATGATGTGTGCATATACATGTGCATTTTCAGGGTTTATGAACTGCAAAGATACCCAAGAAGGTATCCATGAATTCTCTAGTGATATCACTGTAGGAGGAATAAAAAGAAATTCAAGAGGAATACCTTTACAGGCCACCATTCCTAAGGATGTCAGGTCTTCCCAGGGATCCCTTTTTACCTGAAGACGAAGGTACTTCTGGATTTGAGGACTCATGGAACACACGGCCTTTCATCTTCTCCAGGGTCTCATGGGTCGTTGGACCTCCAACTCCACGCTCCTCCCAAGGTGATATGGATTTCTCCTCTCCTGCCAATAATGCATTGCATAGTGTGTTCATGACTGTTTTCCCTTCTAGGACCCTGGAATGCTCTGGGTTTGTGGAGCCCATCTCCAGAGCCACAGTAGCCTCTCCATCCAGAATGACTCTTCCCCTGGGGCTGGCTGCTGAGTCTGGTTTTGCATTTTTCATTTTCTGAAGAGAAGTCAGAATAGTTTCTGCATTTGAGGATTCTCTGTCTTCTGAAGGAATGATAAATTCAAAACTTCTGGGTCGCGGCTTCACTGAATGTAAATATACTTCAGATTTCTTGGATTCTTTCCTTCCTGGAGCCCCGCTGGATAAGCCCTGGAGTCTTCCTGCAGAGCTGGCATTCCTGCGGAGCTGGGCATTCTTCCTAATCTCCTTTTCCCCTGGCAGCTGGGCAAGGGCCAGGCTTCTTTTGGAGGGCAGCCCTGTGCTCCTGGCCAGAGGTTTTCCCTGCATGTCCAGGACCTCAGGACCCTTCTGATCCCTCCGTTTGCTCTGAGACTTCTTCTGAGGCCCCCTCCCTGCCTCATGCTGGCTGGACAGCAGGCTGGCTGCCCCCCCACCACTTTGCTGCTGCCCATCACCTTCTGGGCCATCTGGTTCCTTCTGGCTCTTGAGCTTATTTTCTCCAGGAGAAGACCCTGTGGATGTGTCGGTGCCACTGTCTTGTGCTGGATATTCTGGAAAGACAAACCAGATGCAAGAATGAAGTTGTCCCACCCTGAGGTCCAAGGGCTAGTGGGTGGAAGAGAGAGAGGGGATCCCATTCAGCATCACAGAAGGCAAAGTGTTGAACATGCTGGACAGCAGCAGTCCAGTACCACTAGTAAGAACACTCACACGATCTGCTGTTTTTCTCAATACTACTTTTCAAACTTTTTAAGCAGAGAATTTATTTCAACTAAAATTTTACACAAAACTCCAAAACACAGAGAAATAAAAAACTATGGTTTGTTGGTATAAGATTGTGTTACTATAGATGTACAATATTCACTTTATGAAATCAATTAATAAAAAAGAATTAAGGTATTTGGCACAAAAATTTGAAATCAGAACTTATAAAAGAGCCTTGTATTTTTCTTTTGTTGCATAAATTAAAGAAAATTCTAATTCACACAGATAAGTATAAATGGTGATTTTTTAAAAAGTTTGCCTAGAAATTTCAGGATACTGTTAACATTTTATAAATGATGAGAAAGCCTTACTTACAAGGTCTACATAAGGAAATAAAGATAATATGTACTCAGCACCTTACTTTTGGCTTGAAGAAGATTTTATCAAAATTAGTTTCTTGGGGGCTGGGGGTAGAGCAAGTTCTTAGGAGCCATAAGGCCCGGGTTTGATCACCAGCACCACACACATACACAAACACAAATTTTAAGTTCTTTATAACAGTTTGCTGGTTGGCTTTCTTGAAATATTTAAGTTTCCAAAACTGGCTCATGAACAGGTAAGAAACCACAAAGATGCTAATACTCAGATTTTAGAACATGAAAAACTAATATAAAAATTCTACTCATTAAATTCTACCAGATCATATTATAGTTTAAGTTCTATTACTCTTTCAAAGATTAGAGAAATTTTATTTCATTTAAACTGTCTTCCTCATAGAAATACCTGGAAGGGATTTCTGATGTAGTCTTGAAGTCTAGAAATAGATGAAAAATTCAAACACCAAAAAGCATTTCTTTAAACCAATCATGTATTAGGCCTTCTCCTATCACAAAAAGTCTTTAAATGTAGAAATCAAATAGGCCACATTATTAGATCATAATAAAATCAGAAAGTTACTACAAAAGAATAGCAGGAAGGAGAAGAAAGCAAGAGAGAAAAGGAAAAAAGGAAGAAGTAAAGAGAGATGGAGATGAATTCCTCTTGAGAATTATTTAAAAACCCTGTGTTAAAAAAAGGAATTATCTGGGTGCTGTGGTGCATTCCTGTAATCCCAGCTTGGAAAACTGAAGCTGGAGGATTGTGAGTTCAAAGCCAGCCTCAGAAACTTAGTGAGGCCCTAAAAAACTCAGTGAGACCTTGTCTCTAAGTAAAATACAAAAAAGTGCTAGGGATGTGGTTCAGGGGTTAAGCAGCTCTGGGTCCAATCACTGGTATAAAAAAAATAGAAATTAGGAACTGAAATTAGGTGGATAGCAATGAGACTATTATGCATGAACCTTGTTAGCATGATTGGTTTGCATGCCCTTCCTGCTATCCCAAAGATACCTGTCTGCACATGAGTGCTAACTGCAAATGGATTGAAGAGTTCTCCAAGAACAGGTACTCCAATGCTCTTTCTCCTGATTCTGACCTAGTCAGAATATCAATCTTTTTTTAGAGCCATTAATAATCTGAGGGCACTTTACCAACCCAGCTACAGAGGTCAGAGAGGGACAGGATGTGATTGACCCAAGTTGCCTAGGCTGCGGTAGATCAGGGTCTTCTAAGTCTCAGGCCAGAGAACTTTGGTCTGAAGGCAGCTTCCCTGCTCCTGCCAGCAGCCAGCAATCAGCACTGAGCCAGGATGGGGCCTGGACCACTTACCCTGGCCAGTGGCCTTGTGCAGCTCTTCTGCCAGGAGGCGCTGGTTGATGGCACGCAGGACCTTCAGGGTCAGTTGTACAGCATGTTTCTCCCCGTAATGGATAATCAATAGGTTGGCCAGCTTCACTGGCCTGGCCATCTGAAGATGGCCCCGGGGAATCCGGGAGTGCTCCTTCTCCAAATTGGTGTTCTGCAGCTTGAACTTGAACTTCTCAAAGTCATAGGGCACCAGTTCCTCCAGGGTGTTCAGCAGATGGTCACTAAGAGTCTTGTCCATGGCGCTGATCAGAAGAGACTGAAGCCAGCTGTCTGGTTTTTGGTAGTAGAAGCAGCCCCCTGACCTAGAACCTGAGGATGAGGAAGTGGCAGCTTGTGAAATAACCGAAAGCACAGGAAATGCTTGGTGTTTTCGAGGGAACTGAGATTCAGGATGAGGGCGTGGCCAGTGTCTAAGCTGTGGCATCCTCACAGACTCAAAGACTTGTCCAGTGCAGAAGGTTCCATCTTGCCATCCATGTGGCGCCCAGACTCTCAGCTTCACTCCGTGATAGATGGCAGAGAGGTGGACAAGTCTATCAGGGAGCCTCTGGGGTTGGAGTCCAGACTCTGCTTCTGTTTTCTCTTGCTCTCAGGATGGAGGAGAGGAGGGGACAAAGAGCCAGTCTGAGGGTCAGCATCTCTGGCCAGTGGCTCCTGTCCTGACTCATGGAGTTCATGGACCCTTTGGAGCCAATGGAGAGGGAGGGAGAGGTAGCAGGTATAGCACTGCAAGCTTTTCCCTGGGTGCTCAAGAAAGCTGGTGAGGCTGGAAATAAATATTGAGGTTACCAATAAATATTGTAAACACTATCACCCCAAATACCCTACATACCATAAATACTAAGAATGCAATATTATTCTAAGTAATTTCAGTATGATCATCACATCCAAGAAAGCTAACTTTGTTTTACAAGAATCAGTCCTTGATTCAAATTTCCCCAGTTGTCTTGATGATGTCCTTTGTAGAATTTTCCCCCAACTCGGGGTCCAGAGATCATGCACTTTGTTCAGTTGTCCGGTTTTTCTATTTTCCTTTTACCTGCAACATTTCCCCACTTCCTCAGTGTTTTTTCTCTTTTAAGCCATTGATTTTTAAAAAGTCTGTTTTTACCACCAGAAGAATGAGAAATTATACTCCATTTATATATGATGTGTCAAAGTACATTCTACTGTCATGTGTAACTAATTAGAACAAAATTTTTAAACTTTAAAAAAAGTCCATTTCAAGCAAAACATCCATAAGTTTAGATCTGTTTGCTGGGGCTGGGGATGTGGCTCAAGCGGTAGCGTGCTCGCCTGGCATGCGTGTGGCCCAGGTTCGATCCTCAGCACCACATACCAACAAAGATGTTGTGTCCGCCGAGAACTGAAAAATAAATATTAAAAATTCTCTCTCTCTCTCTCTCTCCTCTCTCACTCTCTCTTTAAAAAAAAAAGATCTGTTTGCTTTTCTCTTCATAAGTCTGCTAAGGGTAATATCCAAGCACCTTCAAGATCTCTCCCATGTATGAGGATATTTTTTCCTTATGATTAATAAGTGACCTGAGTGTATGTCTTCTCTTACATTCTTTCAGCCAATAACTTTTGTAGTCATTGAATGTCCCTTCCTAAATCAACTTTTATAATGGTATTTGCAAACAATGACTATGACTTAATTAGCATTATTTGCATATTTTAGTTTAAACTTTCTGTCCACCCCATGAAATTTTTGGATTAAAAATATTTGTGGCAACAGGGGATGTAGCTCAGAGGTAGGGTTTGTAGCTAGCATTCCCAAGACCTTGGGTTCAATTCCCAACACTGAAAAACAAAGGATGTTTTGTGGACAATTTAACTAATCTTTCAATAGCACTTATTCTGTGCCAAGCACAGCTTCTTCATAAACACTATCTGCTAAGACCTCTGTGGACCCTGCAGGGTTGGGTTCATCTTCCCACTTGCCACCAGGTATCTGTTTCAGAACTTGCTCAGAAGTAGAATGCAAACTCACTCTGTTAAACCACCTCTCAGCATTGTCTCCCTGAACAGTATTAGCTTAGTATTTTACTATTTGACACTTCTCATAGATGTCACTTTTTCAACTGACCACTGAAGCTCAGAATGAGCCATCCCACAGGTCAGTTTCAATATCTGACATCTTCCAAGTGTGTGAGCACCTCTGGGTGTAACTCTCCTGGCATCAGGCTCTGATGGGTGTTGGCTGGCAGAATTTGCCTTTTTGCCCAATGGTTGTCCATGTGCTTCACACTTCACAGAGTGCTCAGTGCTTCATGTTAGCCCTTGGGTTTGTCACGCCTAGTCCAGTGGATCCTAATGAGAAGGAAACCCCCAAACACAACATTCTTCCTAAAAATATGGATGAATTCCAATGAAAATATAGGGTGCTGATAGCAGATGTTCAAAATTCTCAGATTAGTCCATAGGGTGTTGACTGTCTTGCTGGGACCAGTGCCCTGAACCAGAATTTGGAAGGCTGCCACCCAGCATCTCCCAGGTATCCTCCTACTGCTAGACAGAAATGATGAGGTTGTGCAGTGACATGCAGGGAGTGGTAGGTTCCTGGGATTCCTGACCCTATCCTGATGGGTCAGGAACTCCTCTGAACTGAGCAGGGTAAGGAATGGGGGTTTCCAGCCCAAAACAGGATATTTTGCAATTGCAACATCACTTTTTGCAACAGGGGCAATTTTGAGGCAGACTTCTGAAAGACAACATTTTGATGACATTTGGGCCTTTCTAGATGAAGAAAGGCTCACAAAAGTTGTTTTTGAAGATAGAATTATAGCCCTTGTAGTGTATTTTATTTGATTTAGCAGTAAAAATGGAGGGTCTTTTCTTGCTCTTTTTCACCAGATGTGTGACCCTGTTTGGAGTTAACATGATAAATCTAAATTCAAAACGCCTGTTCAAAGGATCTGCCTTCTGCTCATATTCGTAAGCAATGCACTGCTCAGACAATCTGACCTTGTCACTTTCTATGGCATTCATTTCTATATCATTTTAATTTTTTTTTTGTGGTGTTGGGTTCAAACCCAGGACCTACACCTGCTAGGCAAGCATTCTACTACTGAACAATATCCCTAGCCCCATTTTAGGATTTTTTTCAAATGAATATTATATTACTTTTACTATAAGAAAAATATAGTTGTTAAAAGTCATTTATAATTAGCTTAGCCTCTAAGGGAATATCTGTCCTATCCCCCAAAGCATCATGATAAAGGAGGTTTATGGTATTTAAATAAAACAACTGTTATTGAGAGAATGGAAAAAAACAGTTGAGGTCATAGAATATTTCTTGTATAGATCTGGAGCTGAGAATAATGAGTCCCACTATGGTTCAAATTCCCCCTCTAATGATATATTTAATTTTGGGATTCTGAGAGGGCAACCATTCAAGTGTAAGGTAATTTCTAGGCCTTGCTTAGAGTTACTCAACAGCTTCTCAAGGGTAAGAAAGCTGGTAAATGCTCTGAGGTCATTCACAATTTGTGTTCTAGCTGGCTCCTTACCCCAACACAGTTCTTCACTTTAGCATTGAGGTTGTGTTTTGCACAGTTGCTTGATAAATAAAAAAATCCAGAACTTAAAAGGTTAATGAGTTTTTTTTTAATATTTATTTTTTAGGTTTTTTTTTAGGTGAACACAATATCTTTATTTTTTATTTTTATGTGGTGCTGAGAATCGGACCCAGTGCCTCACGAATAAGCGTACTACCACTTGAGCCACATCCCCAGTCCCAGTTAATGAGTTTTTAAAAGACTAAATTTCTAAATGTTTCTGTGCCAAAGGGATTAGTCAAAGGTCAAAATATGCCTATCCTGTACAAGGTCCTGGGTTCAATCCCCAGGGAAGAAAGAAAAAAGAAAGACTAACAAAACACAAATTGATACTCTCAAACAGCCAATTCAAAATGGCCAAAACAAAATGGTGGTCTTTAAATATCCAGACCAGGTGATAGGGCATGGGCAAGGGTCCAGAGTTAGATGGGTATATAGGCCATTCACTGCAGCTGAACCTGACACAGGCTGTCAAAACACAACTACAACTCTCATAGTGTCTTTGATGTAGTAAACAGTAGGCCTTGCATTTTACACAATGCTTTCTTCTAGTTTCCACTGAACTCTATAAAGAAGATACTTTAAAAAAAATTTTTTTTAATAGATGAGGAAAGCTTGGCTTAGAGGTAGTGTGACCAACATATTTGTATGGGACCAAAACATAGTCTGCCCCATTTTAGCACTGGAGGGCCCTCATTGTAGGAACTCCTCCCAACCTGAGAAAACTAGAACAGGCAGCCATCTCTGGAGAGGTTAACTAACATGCTTAAAACATAGCCAGAAGGGACAGTCACCGCCATTCGCTTCACTCATATTTATTGAGCACCTGCCATATGCCAGGTACTATTCTAGACACTCTGGGCACAGAAGTGAATAAAACCAAGCCCCTTTCAGAGCTCACATTCTTACAGGAAAGTGTGAACAGACAATAAACAAACATGCTACACATTAGGTAGTTATAAGGAAGTTGAAAAACTATACAACAGAAACAGTCATGAGCCAAAAGGCTGGGATAATGAAATAAGCCCCTGTGCACAGTAAGCTGTGACCCTTTTGTAGCAGAGCATGTTGCTGCTCTATTCTTGTGCAATTTTCCACAAACCCCGCCATGAGATCCTGATAAACCCACAGAAGCAGAACTTTTATACAAGATGGAACTATTACCAGGGGAAAGTCTAAATAAACCCTCCAGCTTCTTATTCTTAATCAACTTTAAAAAATCACCAACTTTGGAGGTCCCAGAGTTAGGCAATTATCATATTCAAGCCCAGCTGTGCTATGGCAGTGGGGTAGGGAGCTGGAAGGCCAGAGAAAGTGCCGAGAGATGGCATGTGAGACATATGACTTATTGGGGAAAAGCTTACAAGAGACTAGCGATTGCTCAAAGGAGAGTTCAATGGTGACAGATGTAACCACATAGCACTCCTGTCCCCCCCTCTTGGTGCTTCGCCAAGCAGTGCCTTCTTTACTTCGTTTTGTCCAGTGATGCCTGGCTGGGTGAGTGACACATATCCTTTCCACAGTGCCCTCAGTTTTGTACATGTCATCTCTGAGAGAGGAGTTTTATACATTAGGCTGCAGAAGCAGTGACATCATCAGCACCACCTTGCTTAGTTTACTTGTGTGACCAGCATCCTAAGGAGCAATTGTCCTGATGTACATGCAAGAAAGTAGCTTTCTGCAGATAAAGCTAACTTGCCTTAGGTCCCAGAGTGCATAAGGGAAAGCCAGTGTCCTTCAACATAATATGTATCTAGATATTCCAGTCCAGGCTTGATCTCATTGTTCCCTTATTTTGACTGGATTATTGAGAACAGAAAGGGACATTCAGGGATATAGTGTTTTACTGTCCCCCTTTTCTTTAAGGATGATATAGCCATATATTAGCTTCCTATCAGCTTGGTTGTGATTAACAACCTCTGATGTATGGGTTGTGACGATAATGGTTGCCTGGGTTACTCTTCAGGGATCTGAAGGTAGCTTTTGTTGAAAATATTGATTCCTCACTTGGACCTGCAGATGTCTGATGGGTGAATGAAATGAGATCTCTGTGTTCACATTATGTCTCTCTCCTTTGCTGCCCTAACTTTTGGGTCAGATTCTATTTGGCTCTGCATGCGGATGTGTTGGCTGTTCATTGGAGCAGGGGTGTGTTTTCTTCTACCCCATTCTTCTGCTTTTTCAGCAGCTGAAGTAGCCAAAGCACCCGAAGTCTTTCATCCTTATTATAAGGCCCAGACCTTGCCACATGGACAGGATGTTTGCACAGGGTAATGGGCCAGCTGCAAGAGTAACTCAGGAGTTCCTAGGACAAACTGACTGACATCTGGTGATGAGAGTCTCACACAAGAAGAAATATATTT